ACGTTGAGCAACCATTGCCTGACGTCATAATACCGGTACGGGCGACTGGCAGAGCACTCCGCTTGCTCTCATCCCATTCTGTGTTAATACATACGGTGTGTGGTTCGCTTGGCAGTTTCGTTAATTATTGTTTTTATGTCTAAATGGGTCGAAACCGAGGATTGTACAAATATTGTATAGTTCCAGGCTGCAAAAGTACCTCAGGATCGACTCCGAATAAAATATTTATTTCGTTACCGAAAAATGAAAAGTTTGTGCAATGTTATCCACAGTTTCCCCAATCACGGTATGCAACTCAAAATCACCTTCGTTTTTCTTTGGTTGCATGTCTAGGGGGTTTAAAATATTATTATTTGAACATTTAGAGCACAATTTTCAACTTTATGCCGAAAAAAAAATTCTACCCCATCTAAATGGTTGTGTTCACAAAAAATTCAAAATACGTCGGCGAGAGGGACCTTTAAGAAAGCAACTCAGAACCACCCTCGTTTTTCTTTGGTTGCCCGTCTAGGGGGTTATAAATATTATTATTTAAACATTTAGAGCAGAATTTTCAAATGTATGCCGAAAAAAAAATGTCTACCCCATCTAAACGTTCCCGTCCACGTGGCGAGAGGGACCTATAAGCAATTTGTTTAAATAATAATATTTTACAACCCCCTAGACGGGCAACCAAAGAAAAACTAGGGTGGTTCTGAGTTGCTTCAAATACTAGTCAAAGTACTACTGGCACATACACGTCGTCGCATACATCCACAAGTACCGAGTTTAGTACGTTGGATAAATTTGTACAAAAATGGAATGCAAAAGAAAATGTAGAAAAGCAAATTATTTACTTCATTGAGAAAAATCCGAAAATGTATTTGTCATTCTATGTTTATAATAAATATGTTGTGTGAAAAATGCATTTCAACAAGACTTGATGTATATCTCTTATACAGTCACTATTTATACACTTAAAAATATAGGTATATAATATAGGTAAAAATATAGCAAATATCTACACATCTCTCCGACTGCTCGCGACTTGATCGCCGAGTGGCCGGTATCGTGACGTCATTACCTGTTCTCCAGCAGTGTTGACCTTTTTAAGGATCTTATAAATTCAGAATTAAATATATTACTTATTATTAATCCTATTGACCTAATTTTTTTAAGATATATTTAGGTGGTTAAATACCATCAGAAAATGAAAGAAAAAGTTTAAAATTATAAATCACTGAATGAGCCTATTTTACATGTAGGTACCAACCTCAAAAATTTTTTGCGGGAATTATGAATGCAACAAATTCCGCGTATGCGCATACAACTTTTCAATCTTGAAAAAGTCGTCAAGACATGTCCACTTTTCACGACATATCCGCGGCACATCTCTAGTATATATTGTTTTTTTATCGTTTTAATAAGTTTTTGAAAGTGTGATTTTAAGTTATGTACTTTTATGCAAAAGAAAGTGCCAAATGTTTTCAAATAATTCAACAGTTCCTGGTAAAATCATGATATTTTTGTTTACATTTTGTTTGGGTCCAATTGATCAATTTGAGTTTTAAAATTTTTTTCTACATTCCTGTCAATTTATGCATTATTGCGTCTGCAGTCTTATTTGCTACAAATACTGCATTGGAGCTGGGAACATACCGACTGCCATTTTTTTATATAATAAAAACGTTAAAATTGGAAAAGCATGTTGAATTGGCTGTGTACTAGCAATTAACTCGGAAAATATTATTTGTGAAAGTAATATATCATTTTCTTACTATAATGCATTTTGTGATAGATGATAGAACTTATATACGTCCAGATGATTCATATATAATTCAAATGACCTATTTCTAATTGTTAATTTTTTAAAAGGATTTAATTCATGCTTGATAATTAGGTAGTTATATAGAGAAGCTAATATAAGTCTGATGTCAAAAAAAATATATATATCTATTGAATTGCCCCTTTAAGACCGTTTGTATAATTATATTTAGTCGACTGTTATATTTATATATATCGTACGTAGAAATTTCACTTTTCCTTTTAAATTGGTTGATTAATTATAATGATACAAGCTGTCATATCAAGACCCGTTAATTAAAAAAAAATGCCTTGAAAAGGCTCATTGTAATAAAAATATACTGTTATTTTATATTAAGTTTAAATCACTTACTCCCAATTCACCATCATTTTAATGCAAGATTGTCCGTGATAGGTGATTCACAAGATTTGATAAATTTCCGATTATGGAATAAGTTATAATTTGTATATTAATATGTTGAAGAAAATATGAAATTAATTGTATATTATTTCAAAGCTGGAAAAATGTACATTAAATTATTTTTATTGACTGCATATATTACTTTAGTTTTTGTCTTCAGCAGCTCGTAGTACTTACTAACAGATCTGCATATAAGCAGGGACGTATTTGTAAGTTATGCGCCCTGGGCAAATATGATCGGCCACCCCAGTACCTGTTAGTAAATGTAAAATGTCAGCAAAAAACCCTACTTCAGAAAAATATGTCCCTGCATATGTTTTTTTCCCCATGTGAACTAAATTTCTAGTCTTAAAATCTGAAACTTTATAGATTTCGAGGCATTGTCTATATTTATAGTTGTATGACAGTTTTAGCATTTGAATGTCTGGTGGTGGAGTAAATCAATTGTTTTATTGTAGATGCTCTAAAATAAAAAGTTGTGTGTTATTAATACTTTAATTAATTAATATTACAAATTATATTTTCATGTAAATAATTTGTTCTTATGAAAAGCATATTTTAAAATTAATTACCTTTTATGATTCTGTTATCTTCAAATTTCCATTAGTTATTTGATAATTGACCATTTTTTTTAAAGCTTTATTTTGTTTACATAATTAAGTGAATGTGGTTACATTTTCGTTAAAAATGATAAGCATATCAAACCATTTTTAATAATGCACAATTTCAGTTTTTTACTAAAGATGTTGATGTAAATTTATTTATTGTATATATTAACATTTTATTTATTATTAAGAGAAATATCTTTATTAGACCGGTTCTGTTTATTTTTGTAAAATTATAAAAAAAAATTAATCACACAGGAGCTTATTTCAAACCCACGCCTTTAGAGATATACAGTTAGTGTTAGAGACGTTTAAACAATTTTTCCTCCACAAATACAGGGTGAAACCTTTTTGTATCCTTTTCCTTGAAGTGATAACTTCTATTATCATGGCAGATAAATCTTAGTGGTTCAATGTTTGTATAAACATAACAGGTAGATTATCGAAAAATAAGGATAATTGGTTGTATTTATTCTATCTGAAAAAATTTAATTCTGAGAATTGAAAATACTTTTTTCTCAAATATTTTCTAAATGCATGTTTTATCTTCAAAATTTCGCAGAATATTTTCGATGGTAGACGCATATTTTTAAAAAACAGGGTGAACTATTTTCGGTGGGATTGCAGGGTACAGGCTAGGCAGTAATAGAGAAAACTGCTATCCCATGTTGTTTTTTTAAACTGAATTTACTGATGCAAACAAATTCTTTTTAACTTCGTTGCTTTTCGATATACAGAGGATTTCTTGAATCTGACCAATTTCTACTGGTCCATATATTTCCTTTTCTTAGTTTCCATGAAATGCTACTAGTTATAGTCTTTCCGATTTCAATTGAAGAACCAACAGATTGACAGTATGTACCAGGTTCGGTCGCTGACGCAGCAACTCGGCATTGACATATTTGAAAGACTTGTTCCCATATTTATTTAGCCATACCCATATACAGGTCTGGTCGAACTAAACGTGCAGGTGGTAGAAATGTATACGATCAGTTGAAGAATGCGAGCGCAGGCAAAGAAAAACAAAGACAGTTGCATTAGGCTACTGAGCAATAAATCACAGCAGTTGACAAGTGGTTGATAAATTGCCCAGCAGTGCAGTGCAGCAATGCGGAATTTGGTGTGTTTCAGGTAATTTTAATTTATTATATGTACCTTCTAACAATCATTCATATTACAATTGCGAAAGGGAAGAAATAAGTGGGATATTTTGTTTACTAATATTATCACAACATGGGATTTTGGAGACCTTTTGAAACGGAACAAAACGAAATTTACCACCAATATAATAAAATTGTTTGAGGATATAAATAATTAAAATATGTTGTTGGTCAAATGAACATATAATAGAAATTTTCTACACATATACAAATTATTATAATTTTTTACCTTTAGCAGAAAACTTTTTTAGGGACGCCTATGAAACTCATTTTGATTGCTTGGTTTTTTTTGTACATGTTCAACTGACTTCGGAAAGATTATACTAATGGAATACCATTTATATTTTGAACGGACTGATTCTTTTTTTGTAACTTTTACAATATCGTTTACTTAAAAATTAATTTTTTTATGTATGATGGTTAAAAACTTAATAATTCTCTAAATTATTTATTAAAAACGAAAAAAAAAGTATGCCACTGATAAAATACAAAATTTAGAATTTTTTTCAAAATATCAGCTCCTTTTACAGTAAAAATGTGTTTGATTTTTTCTTACAAACTTACTATTTCACATTCATTAAAAACGTTTTGTAATAAAAAATAATTACATTTAAAGGAAATTATGGAAATGTCTCTTTTAAAAAGTATTTTTTCTGTAGCTCTGATGATTAAATTGACAATATGAAATGTTTTAAATAAAAGTTCCAATAAAAAAAAAATTCTATTACACAAGGTGCTTCATTTATTTCAGATTTAATTTCCCATTGATATTATATCTGTCACAATTTTGGTGTGATTTGATAGTGGGACATGTAATTTTATTTAAATAGTCCCTAAAATATATATTTTTTATTTGGAAACTCGGATTTACAAGAAAAATTTATAACTAAAAGAAACCTGTCTACTGTTCAAATGTTCTCATTTTCAATGAGCAAAATTTCAATGATAGAATATTGTTTAAAAAATATTTGAGAAAAAAATATTTATCTAAATTGTTTTTACAAATATTTTATAATTTTATTAAGTGTTACATTATTACAGTGTTACATTATACAAAAATTAAAAAAACAACTTTTATAAATATTAAATTAAAAAAAATTATAATCCTACAATAGTACATCCTAACAATCCTTTACCAGCCCATTTCTTAGGCGTTAACTGAACGGTGAGGTACCGCTCACCCCTTTTCAATTTAATGTTTATTTGTGAACCTTCCGAGTGTTGAACAACAGTTGCAATATCTGTAATGTTTTTGAAATTGGTCGAGTTCACTGATCCAAATTCAACAACCTCGTCGTCGGTACCAATTCCTGCATAAGCGGCTGGAGATCCTGGAGTAACTAAAGTAACTCTAGCAAAAGGCGTTTTATGAACCACAATCTCTGGTCGATCAGTATCCATCGGGGTAACTTGCATGTTGCTGGTGCTTGAAGTAGAGTAATATCCTTGCAAACCGTTCTCGATTTGTTTCATGATGTTCTTGTGATCATTTTGTAAACATATTATTCTGTGACGGGCATTCCGTACTTGATATACGTCTATCGAATTTATGGGGTATCCCTCGGGGTCCACTAAAGGGTCATTCATTCCCACCCCATTTTGAGTTAAAATGGATGTTAATTGCTTTATTTCGTCTTCTATCTTATCCTTTTGGTTCATTAATTCTAAAACATGTTTTCTAATATCTTCTTGGCTCATTTTGACCACTATAGGAGCTAAAAAAAGTATAAGTATTAGAAGAGTTACTTTTAAATATATAAAACTATAATTCGGATTTTTAAAGAATTTTATTTTTCAAAAAACGTAAATTAAAATGATTATGCAAAAATGCATCATCATGGACCCTTTTCTTTTACTCATTATTTCGGAATCATGTGTTACGATCCGATGAAAACCAATCAGATTGCTAGATTTCGGATCGTAACGCCTTATGATTCCGAAATCATGAGTAAAAGAAAACAGCAATGATAGACACACTTTATTTTGTTTACTTTTTAAGCGTTGATTAACCTAAAAATGTTACAAATTGAAAACCTAAAAACTGCCAAAATTTGATGAATACTTACATTCTAATAGACGAGATTAATTTAATATGTTCTTACAATTTTTAGAGTGTTAAAGATATCAAATTGAATTAGAGGTAAGCAACTCGAATAAAGTAAATAGATAGATCAACCAGTGAACCACATAAAATGCAAGGGTATAAATAAATAACTGGCGGCTAACGACACCAATTCCACTTTGGCTTCCACATTACGCGCATGCTCCAACCGTCAAACTCATTTAGTTTCCCGGGCGTATTTAAAATATTGATATTAGGTATAATCAATTAGATTTAGGGAAATAATATATGTTGGATTATATTTTTAATTTCTGTTAGGCAGTTGAACACATAAAAGGTACCTATCTAAGATTTACATTATATTGGCTGTATTGAATTAAAAAATAATGTTTTATTGAATGCCTACTATTTTATTGCCAGAAAAAATATTTCTTGCTCAATTCATACGCTTGTTCTGCCTTTTGGCAAAGAGAGTAACTGTTAATACTGTATGATTAAATTATTTTGTTGATAGTTAATGTAGATTGTAGATTAGCAATGATCTTAAACACAATTCTGAGTTTTTGTTATTCATTGTTAAAACCTGTCAGGCAAAAAAAACACTTGTAAAAATAAAGATATTTATTTTTTAAATTAGCATATTTAAGGCAATATTATTTGCTTCAATATTACTTGGCTTCGATAACTGATCTTTTTTTCTATTACCTGTTTTCTTCGTCTTAAAAAGTCGTCTCTGTTGGGATATATTTTTATTATGGGGTATACTTGTATCCAATTTTTTGCACACTTCCACACTGTTAAAATTTTTGAAAGCTGTCAAGGTAGGCAAGAGAGGGGCTATTGGTTTTTTTACTATATCCAACCTTCAGGAGACGTAAGACTGTCGATAATAACTCGTGTTTAAATTTTTCTTTTTCAATCAAATTTATTAGTATTTTCATTTAGTTTTGTTTTTGATAATGAACTATTTTTTTTATAACAATTGGCATTTCTTCTTGGGTGTTCGGTGGTCTGTGGGTGTTCATCTTATCGTCAATCGTTAAATACAGTTGGTTATCTAGAAACATTTTGGTTGTTACTTATACAGGGCTGGAAAATCCACATGGTCCATCTGCCTTTACATGAGAGCGACAAAGTAAAGTAAAGTAAAGAAATCTATGCGATAGACAAGGATGGCTATAGTGAAGACGTTTTATAATCTGAATAGTCACCGCCTGGATTTCTACGACTTAGTTTATCGCTCTCACGTACGGCCGATATACCATGGGGACTTTCCGAACCTGTATACTCTGTGCCAAAACATAGAGTTGAATTTTTCTCAGAAATGTTTCCTATTCGTGTATATTAAATAGTACAAATATGAATAGCTGGATTCATTGCGCATCACTTTTGTTATTGACATTTTTTTCTATCTCTCGACGGAAAGGGTGGGGGAAGCCCTTAATGTCTGATCAGAAAAATGCATTTTTTTAAGGATTAGCACATCAAAAGCCCATAGTGTGATACCTCGTTGGAAAGGTGTTTTCATGCTNTCTATCGCACGGATTTCTACGACTTAGTTTATCGCTCTCACGTACGGCCGATATACCATGGGGACTTTCCGAACCTGTATACTCTGTGCCAAAACATAGAGTTGAATTTTTCTCAGAAATGTTTCCTATTCGTGTATATTAAATAGTACAAATATGAATAGCTGGATTCATTGCGCATCACTTTTGTTATTGACATTTTTTTCTATCTCTCGACGGAAAGGGTGGGGGAAGCCCTTAATGTCTGATCAGAAAAATGCATTTTTTTAAGGATTAGCACATCAAAAGCCCATAGTGTGATACCTCGTTGGAAAGGTGTTTTCATGCTTCATCTCGTGGTGAATGCGTAATGTAATGTACCTCAATATGGAAACCTATAGAGCAATAAATAAATAATGATAATGAACTGAGGAACACGACGCCAACGAAAAGACATTTAATTACCAAAACAAAATGTCTTTATAAAAGAATCTAACTAAACCCACGCAAATGAGTGAGTCAATCTTGAAAATAAATAACAAAAACAATAACAAATTGTAATTTTTTATTTTCTAATTATAATTTTTCTTGCGTTACAATTAAAAATTATTGCTTGATTTAGAACTTAATTTAATTTTATTGTTCATTTAGTTTATTTATATTTTCATAGTTTACTTATCCCATTTATATTATATATACAATATTTTTTCTTCAAATTTATTAGAAATTACATTGCTGTGATACAGAATCCATTGTGGATTCAGATTTTACATAAAAAAAATAGCTAACTAATTTTTGTCAAATCCGACATCCAAAAAAAAATCTTTAACATGTAGCTAAAAATAAATTCAAATCATGTGATTTAACACACTTTTTTAAAAAGCATATACTCAAAAAGTGGAAGGCCTTACTCAACGAATTGCGCATTTTTTTTTATTTTTTGACGTATGGCAACAAAATGTTGTAAGTAACGATCAAACGACATACAGTACAGTATGTCCAAACGAAAACTGAGCTCCTTGAACATAGTTTTACATCTCCATATTTCGATACTGATTTATTTAACTTCGCACGAGTTATTACGTAACTATTAAAACACTCGGTATCTCAGATCCAGGAAAGCGTGAAGAAAAGATAAGTGCGAAGTCAATGACACCAAAAAATAATCGCCTGTAAGCGTGTGTCATGTACCACCTTACAGCACGAAGTACAAGCGAATCCGTTCATTTTGAAACGTTTTACATTTTACAGTACTTCAGCGATCTATTTCCACTGGGCATTGTTAAAAAGCGCGGTGTGGCCGCAAAACGGAAGTTCCCCCATTGCCCATCAAAACAATTGAACCTACCTTTCGGTCCCTAATCACAGCTAATGTGATTCACTCTATCCACACTATTATTGCATGTGCAGGTGTTTACTCTGTAGTTAACATGTACCAAGACCTGTTTTTTCTTTCTAGGGGCCTGGAGGCGTATCGCATCGCCGAAGATGACTCCTGCGACAGGTGTCATCTTCAAAGGTCTAACGCTATGCGCAGGAGAGGCAGAAGGCCCCTTCTGAAGGCGTCGACTTTGAAGAGAGTGCAAAGTGCCAGGAGAAATTTTGAAAAGTGCATCGAGAGATGTGGATTACTGGAAACGAACGACCTTAAGGATAAGAGGACGTTGGGCGGGTAACGTTATTTTCTTAATAGTTTTTCTTCCTTTAATAATAAATTCCCACGCTGTGGTACAAGTGTCAGTTTGGGGTGGTTTTTTTAACGAAATCAATTTTGTCTGCTTTGAAAATTCACAATGAAAAGTCGTAAATACTCGTACATCACTAAAAATGTTTTCACGTTATACAGAGTGATCTAGAAATGGGTGTGAAAAATTAGGGGTGATGGAACATAATATGAAAAATAAAACGGTAAATACCTATTTTCTTATGATCCATCACTTTTGTTTTTAAGATTCAATGCGTCAAAGATGATTTTTTTAAATCAAATTTTAGCTTTATTATATCTTTTCCAAAAAAAAAAAGAATATAGGCAAGAGATAACAGCCAGCAATTTCTAGCAAATGGTAAAAATAAACTGCAAACAGTGACGTTTTTATCTTTGTAAATTTATCTGGAATCAATTTTAATACAATGCTCTTTTTTCGAAAAAAAATTGTTTTAAAAAAAATTTTGATGCCCTATATTTCAAAAACAAAAGATGATTGGCCCATATGCTATAGGGAAATTTTTATTTTGTGATGTTATGCCACCCCTTACACTCATTTCCAGATTATCCTGTATATTATTATTTACGGATTTGCCTTTTTTTACATTGTATTATAATCGTAAAAACCAGTACCATAATATTTTTTTTCTACAAACGTCAAAAAATGACTAGGTTTGCGCATTGACAACAATATGCGAAGTGACACTTTTTTTCGGATTCTTACGTTACCATGACACCGTGCGTAAAATACTTCGCGCACTAGGGTGCGAAGTATTTCGCACACTGCATGTAAATTAATAAGAGTTTTGTATTTCAATCTTTGAAAAACTCCAAATTATTATTTATTTTTAAATGAATAACAATTAAATACTTTTAAAATAATGCTAACAGCACATTTTCGGATGCTTTTCTTGCTTTATTTGTTTCACACCACTCCTTAAATTGCCGATATGCATTTTCATATTGGCGCTTCGATTTTTCCGGTAAAAGATTTGAAGTTACCAAATTGGCCGCATCTGCCAAATTAGGTGGGGTACTACTTAGTTCATCGTCACTAGCATTTTCCATTATTTTAAATAATATCTGGCACTTCAAAATTGAAGACGCGAGCACAAACGTCACTTTAAAATAATTATTATTGTTGTCAACAACAGCCACTTTGTTTCCATAGTAATAGTGAAAATTTGATTAGGAAAGACATTTCAAGCCAGCTCAACACTATTTTCTATAATAAATTAGGCATTTTACTTATTTATAATACTTTTAAGAGATAGATTTTGACGTTTCCAGAAAAAAATATTGTTTGCATCTCGTGCGCGAACTACTTTGCTGGTCTCGAATAATTTTTTAACTCGGCTTCGCCTCGTTAAAAAATTCAATTCTCTATCACCAAAGTAGCATTTCGCGCACTAGATACAAAAATAACTATTTTTAGAAATGATCATTCTGATTTTCATATTGAAGAGCGATGTTGTCCAAATATTATAGTAAATATTTAAAAAAATGCGTTTTACCTGATCCCCAACCCGATATAATGTAGATTCATATCCGATTATCCGATATTATACTCTCGTAAATATTTATTTTCTAACAATTTATTATATGTTGACTATATTATTCAGGTAAAATACATACACGCCCTCTCTAGTTAGTTTGCAAATTTCGAAAGAATCACCAAGTGTGGTTCCTGCGGCTTCTGGAACAATGTGAGGTAGTGTTTATGTTTTAATTTTACAGGTTGCTAAGACGCCTCAGGAAATTCAAAATGAAGCAGATCACTATGAAGAGAATAGAAAACAAAGCAACAAAACCGGCAAAAGCCATTCCGTGGATTTTGAAGTGGAAGTCTCGAAAAGCCGATCCAGTTTGCAGCCCAAGGTAAGTCCCACATTTGCTTTATTTTGAGAAGTTTGTCGTTTCGTAATAAATGCAATTGGTAT